CCCCAAAACCCCAAAACCCCAAAACCCCATCAATATAAATTCTCGAGATTAAAGCACTTTATTATAATCAATTCAAAGATACTTTCCAACCTGTACAATTGCAAACAATAGATACTAAATCCAAATCATGAAATTAATTATCAGATTTGGTACAGGCTAATCATTAGAGAAAGATCCAACAGAAATTAAAAATCCGATAAAGTTCAATAGCATAATTCCTATGATAATAAGTTACTCAATGATATGGAAAGCTCTAAATTTAAGTGGTACAGAATGCTACTCCTCATTTTGCATTTTAATAGCTTATGTCTCTTAAATTTTTAAAGGAGAGGGCTAATGAGTATCGTGAATTTCATCAACCTTAATATCTTTTTAACTTTCTTTATCACTCATCATATTGAACCTAATTGAGTCTATACCATTGAAATTAGCTTAAGTCATATTTGAATAAGTTTTTGTATTCTAAGACAATTCGTTATTATTATCAATCATAGTTTTCTGTGTTTACTAAGGCCCCTTATCTATTTGGCGATTGTATTATCTCATATTATTGGCTTTCTTTTTAAAAGCTTAAGTAATTTGGAATAAATTCTTTTGTATTACAAATTTCAAAGCTAAACTCAAGAAGATTAAAATTACAGCTGTTACAACAAGAAATTCATTAAAATATACTGGATAGCCACCAGTTGTGAAAATATTGTTTCTATTTTAGCATGTGAAATAATCAAAAGTATAGACAGGCATTAAAAGGCAAGGGATAATACCAATTATAAACAAGCTAAGCCAGTAGGGCTTTCTCATTCTCTTGCATATAATATTGTTTCTCTTTGAGATTTTGTTTTAAGGATCTTAAACGTCCTTAAAAGTAAGGTAAACTACAAGTATAGTGGCAGTAATTGAGAGCAATATTCCCAAGAATGAATAAGCCTGATTTTATATATAATCTTCGTGAGCTACGTCTAAATCAAAATGAACCACAGGCAAATGCTTTGGCTTAAGAGATGCACATTCAGATTGCATGAAAAATGCGAATTCGTTTATGATGCAGACTATGTTGAAAAAGTGGAATGCAAAGAGCATGAAAATGGTAAATTTCTGATTGAAGGACATTTTTATCTTTTCTTTGAAATTTCTCTCAAATTCAGAGGCTTTTTCCCTAGTATTGTCCAAGTTAATGTCCTCCATATGAACTGTAATCTTCTCTTAAGGTTTATAAGCTTTTGCTCTTTTATGGAGTTTTACTTGCTTTATATGACTAGTATTAGTTGAGAGTCTGGTCTCATCTATATTGAGTGCGGCACCAAGTGCACTTGGTTCTTCATTGAGTTTATCTATCCTTTCCTCATATCCAGTAAGATTTTGAAGATCCAGAAAATCCTCATCGTTTTCTTTTTTATTTGAAAAAGAGAGTTTTTACTTTTTCTATTATCTTAATTTCCTTTGCTACTGCTATAGGTAATGCTGAATACTTGAGAGTGGAATAATATCCTGCTAAATTTAGTTTTTTGAGGATTTATGCAGCAACTTTAAATAATCCTTGAGAGGAAGACCTAATTATTCAGCTTCATTTATCATTTACTTGCTCACAATTACTCTAGCTTTGTGATGCTTCTTGTGTTGCGTTTGTTCTTTTTCGAGTTCTGCTTTTGAAGGTCTCAGCATATTTCTAGACTCTAGTTAATTCATTTGAGGGTCAATGAGATATTTAATTTAAACCTAATTGCACATATTAATATTTACTTCTGCGCCTTTATTTTCAAAAAGTTCGTCATTCATTTTTATATTAATTAATTTGCTTAATATTTATTCTGAACTTTAAATTTTGGGGTTTTGGGGTTTTGGGG